AAAACATTTACTGGATTAGATGACATTCATTGTATGTAAGCAATTTGTATGAAATATGAATCAGTTTTAAATCCAATGACGACGTATGACGTCAAGCGCAATTTTGCGCTAGTTTGCGCAAAACCAAAATTCGATCAAATTAGGTACATACCATACAACAAAGTATAGTTCGGATAATTTAACAGTCTTCTACTTCATCATATTTTTGTAATAAAAACTGTAATTAACATGTATAAAACGTTCATTATAAAACTGAGAACAACATCAGGTGCAAATTCTCGCGTAGGTAACCGTGGCGAGTGTAATCGATAGTGCCCCTAAGTAAAGGACTAGTGGGGGCTAAAAATAGCACAATGGGGTGAGCATGAGCTCCTAACCTTTGAATGACTTCTCATGTTACAGATTAAAGGTTGCTTTATTATTTTTGTTTTGTTGTGGGCTAAGAAAGTGGCTAAAAGATGTATTCATTACACGTTTCCTTTATAAAAACATCATTTTCTGAGCGTGAATTCTCGTTACTGTCGATATTTTTGGCAAACTCTTATTTCGATGATCGTTTTCTTTATTATAAGAAGTTTAAAGTATATTTGGAGCTCTGATTTAGACTATTTACATGGAGAATGGATTTATTAAAGACCACAGTTATACAAAGATAAATTAATGCATTCACAACATTGTTACCTATTACGAATCTTTCGCGGTTTTACTAAAAAAAGGATCTCACTCAGCTTCAAGATCAATTTCTTAATTCTTCTAAACTTCTAAACATAAATTAGGTACATAGACTTCTTTATACAAAGCTAGTCCTAAGTAAGCTTTACTTGCCAACAAATCAATATAAAGAACTGTTCATCTATTCGACACGTGTAGAAGTCTAACAGCAACTAAATAGGTATTAAGAATATTACGTAGTTCTTAGTCATTTATGTAATAACGACTTGTGGACATGTGTAATTGTGTATTCATATCTGTTATGTATAAATAACTCGGTAAATATTTCTATTTACATAATATCCACGTGATAATAATAGATTTGTATGTATTGTGTGTGTATTTACCATTTAAGGGACCACTGGGTCCCGGTCATTTGGGAGGCGTACAAGGGCCCGAAGCCAACTGCGCAGAGGCACTTTAGACAACGTTAATATAAATATAATGGACACACAAACCAGCGATTATCCCTGTATGCGCTATGGAGATGCACACAAAAACAGTCCCTGGTTGTGTAGAACTATTGTAGATAATGAAAAAAAGGTAGTGCTATGGATGGGTTGCTGTGGACTGGTAAATTGAGAGCTGTGACTATGGCACCTGCCGACACAATGTAAAATTAGATTACTACACGTAAAAATAGCAGGCGGAGACTCGCCTACTCACCGACAGGGCCTAAGGAATGGTTGCTAGATAATAGCAACAGAGGGAGACAATAGCAACAGAGGGGTATGCATTATTATCAATGTTAACGCTTTCATGTTGAACTAAAGACATTTTTGGAGATAATTTAGAATAGTTAGATGCTTTTTATCGTAGTTTTCCATATTTAAGTAATTTGCTTTTCGATTGCAGGATCATGGATTTTCGTCCGAAGGAGAAGTTGCGAAGACTTGACTTATCAGGGTCTATTTGACCGAAGGATTGAATTTGTGCATCTTTGCTGGCACTAGGAGTAAAGGGTTGATTTCTTACTTCAGTGTTAGATGATAACATAACAAAAGCGTGTTGTGTTTGTTATAAAAACGATATTAATATAAACGATAAAGAATATAAGTCAATTTAGCCATCAGCGATATAAAAGGATGCGTCGAAAGCGACATAGATTTATTACAACACGGTAAACGATCCAATGGTTGCAAAACAAACCGGTTTAGCCAAGTTCAAGGACGGATTTGTGACAAAAACTGCGGCAACTGGCTTGTCGTTGCTAAGTCATTTAACCGACTGTGATGAAACGAAGGATTATGACTTTCAATACAGATCAAATTCAATGAAACGACGACCTTTGACAAATGCTTCAGAATTAAAGGGATTGCTAACTAGTGTTATTTATCACGTGCGACTATGTAATAAAATGCAGCCCTATGCAGTTGAAGGAATTTATGAAAATCGGTTTATTAATTTCAAAAATCTACCTCCTACTGTGAGAATTTAGTTTGAATGTGAGAGTCACACATTCGAAGTAAAAGATTATCTCTTTATAATCAACTAGCTTCTGCCCGCGACTTCGTACGCGCAATCCCACTTTCCCCCCGTTCCCGTTCGTGATTTTCGGTAAAAAGTAAAAAAAAGTACTGTATAAAAAGTATCCTATGTCCGTCTCCTGGTTCTAAGCTACCTCCCTGCCAATTTTCAGCTAAATCGATTGAGGCGTTCTTGAGTTATAAATAGTGTAACTGACAGGACTTTCTTTTATATATTTAAATAGAATAAATAGAATATAGATCTGTACTCCTGTACAGCTTGATGTAACCACGTGTACTACGTGTACTTAATACCACCTTTTCATATAGGAACAAGCAGGTACAATAGCTACAGTGCTTTTAGCCAAACGCCACTTTAGCGCTTGTTGTAGAGAGAGTAGAAAACTAAATGTATGGGGATGACACTGACAAGTGTCAAAATTTACGTCAATTCCATATAATTTGGTTTTCTATTCAACATGTAATGTAGACAAGCGCTAAATGGCATTTGGCTACAGCTGCAGGATCGATTCCTGAATTTTTAACTACTTATTTGACTGTTATATTTACCTAAATATATATACTTCTAGGGTTTTCGCGTTATCTTAACTGAATAAGCATACAAAACATACGATAACTATTATGTAATTACAAATTATGATCGATTACGATAGCTTATCAGTGACAGTGACCTGATAACGACCCACTGAGTAATATAACATGCCTATAAGTACTATATTTCATTAAATAATAATTATTTTCCATACACTAGTGTAGACATGAAGTCTTGTTGTGGTTTTCACACGAGTCTAGGTTATGTGATGTATTTGTGGTTACAGTTGATGTATTTTAGGTATGCCTATGTATGAATTAGGGATGTTAGGGAGCTCCGTAATCGTAATAGAAACTATCGGATATCCGATATAAAAAATAACCGTAACCTTAACCGAATCTGAAATAAAAGTTTCGGATACTATCGGATAGGGGCGTGACGTATAAATTATAATATTAGCTATTTTATTTTACTTTTGAAATTCCTTAAAAATTTAATAAGTATCCGTAACCGAAATTAGGTATCCGGAACTAACGGATAATTCGAAATAATTTCGTATCCGTATCCAGTAGGTATAATAATCATTTCTATTTCCGTATCAAATCCATATTCGGTACATCTCTAGTATGAATGTATGTATGTAGGTACTTCAGTATGAGACATCGTTATCTATTAAATGCCTACTATTTTGCATGGAAGACAAAGAGTTGCGTAGATAAAGTAGGTAACACTTAATGGAAATCGTAAGACCATAATCTTATAATTGTTTATAGTTGAAGAGTTTGTTTGGGCGCGCTAATCTCAGGAACGACTGGTCCGATTTGAATAATTCTTTTTGTGTTGGATAGTCCATTTATCGAGGAAGGTTATGGGCTACTATAAAACATCACGCTACGGTCAATAGGCGCCGAGCAGAACGGGTGAAATCGCGAGAAAGTAACTGGTTATTTTAAAGAATTTGTATAATAAACCGACTTCAAAAAAAAGGAGGTTCTCAATTTAACCTGTATATATGTTTGTGCGCTATTATCTCGCGATTGGCTGAACCGATTTTGATGAGGTTTTCAGTAAAATGTTTGTCACACTTAGGAGAATATTTTAGTATAATAATTAACAGAGTTCAAAAATAGAGGGGACTGAAGTTGGTCTTTTTTAAAAGTAGTTTGTACGAGAATTATAATTTGTTGAATTAATATAGTACCTACTTGTCTCTGTCTTTATCATATCCTTTTACACAGATCTTATTGTGTGAAATAGTATGTACCTAATTACATTTTTATATAAAACTAGCTACTTCCGCGTGGTTTCACTCGCTCTGCTCGGCGCCTATTAATCTTAGCGTGATATTTTATAGCCTATAGCCTTCCTCGATAAATAAACTATCAAACACAGAAAGAATTCATCAAACCGGAGCAGTAGTTTCGGAGATTAGCGCGTTCAAACAAAAAAACAATCTCTTCAGCTTTATAATATTAGTAGGTATAGATTATTTTATTGCAAGCAAATAACAAGTAGGTACCAAAGAGTTTTATGGATAAGGAAAATTTAGCAACGAGAAATAAATAAAATAACTGGCTATAAAATATTTCATAGCCATTTTCAATATAAATGTAGCTAGCTGCCTACAAAGATAATATCTAAATAAGAACATAACAAAACTTAAAGGCACTTAATGCCACTGTACAATGTAACACCCACTTTTCACTATTATGTTATGAGTCCCATGTAATAGGGGGTGAGAATACCCAACCTAAATAAAGAACCTAAATAAAAAAAGAATGTTATGATTTATATTTTCTTCAAATTATTTATTTTTTCCCCCTGTAACCATTTTGAGACCATCTTTATTGGATGTTACCTATCCTACTAATATTTGTTATGTTTGTTCGATTGTTACACCTGTATGCCAAAACGGCTGAAGACATTAGAATGAAATTTGGAACAGGGGTTAGATTGTAGTGTGCATTAACACATGAACCGGTAGAAGAATAATTTCTAATCAATTCTGGAGAAAATGCAACCTTTAGGAGATGCAACTAGAATGTTAATTTGAGTGTTACAAAATATGTGGTTATGCTAACACTAGTCTTTCTCTTTTGATAAAATTTTTGTTGGTATTTTTATACAATCAAATATTGTATGTTTATTGTTTTTAACCCGCTCTACACTAACTACATTATAGACCTTATTTCCAATGTTTAGAGACTATTTTTGTATGAACAAATTTAGGGGATGAATTTCAACGGGTTAAAATGATGTAAAGCACTTACCTGAGGACATAGGCGTCGACTTGCTCGCTCTGGGTGAAAGAGATGATCTCACAACGCACAATCTTCAGCACATTTTCCCATTGTTGACTGTCAACAAAATTATTACATTAATTAATTTTAAGGTACCATCAACATTAACTACTTTTTTAGAGACTTCAAAAAAGGAGGAGGTACTATGTTCGGCTGATTGTTTTTTTTTTAATTTTACTATTACCAGGAACATCACGTATCTTCCTTCTATCTAAGAAATTATATGTTTAAAAACTTTGTTAAGCATATTGATTCGTAAACTAAAATTATCTAAAAATGTATAATTTTACAGTAAAAACATTTAAATAGCTATCTTACTTGAACTTTCAAGGATATTTAAATATAGTTTTAAATAGCCAAAACCAGTAAAAGATTAAGATAATGGCTTTTCGATTACTGCTTTGTAGATATTTTTTATGAAACCAAACTGCTAAGTAAAATACCTAATATTCTTAATAAATAACCAGCTGTGATGTAATGGTAACTACATAAAGTATTAATTAGTGATGTACAGAAAAGCAATTATTTCAAATCACGCGCGCCTGCTGTGGCCCGGCCCTAAGATCGGCCCCAAGCCAACCACGGCGGCCGGGCAAACCTCCGGACATCCAATAGACGATTAAAATTTTCAAACAGCTGATTCCAGAACATTCCACAACAACAAACTATTATTCTACTCCGTAAACATTACATTTAAATGTATCTACAATTAATAAAGTGACAGAAAACATTATTTACTTTTATAAGACAAAATATCTACACTGCATGAAACTTAAAAGATTTAAACGTGAAGGTTTCAGTAATGTACCAATCTGCCGGTAACCTAAATACAAAGCTACAACTTACGTAATTCAATACAATATAACAATATTACTCAAGTTGCAGATGAACACCACACAAAAGAATACTCACCGAGTGATTTTTCTCAAATCCGCATTTTTCGCCGGTGTAAACCAAATTTCGATGAGCTTCTCAACTCCTTCGAAAAATTGCTCATTATTTTCACTACTAGATATTATTTCTGTTTCAGCCATGACTACTTCTTGTTATTTATAATTTAAAAGAGCAAAAAGTAATTATTGAATTTATTCTCACTGAGAACTTGGCGCACAACCGTTTTGATTTGACGTCGGAAGTTGACTGAATGAAATGAAACGAAATTATTGGCAAAATGCGGGTGAAAGAAGAGATGGATGTATCAACATCTCTTTCTTTCAGAGCGAGCGAGCCGGCGCGTGTTTGCGTTCGGAAGTAGGGGCAGAGAATAAAGTCATGTTCGGTGGCGCATGGAACGAAACCTCGTATTTATCAGTAACCAAGTAGATGCTTTGTATTGCCAATGAGTAATATTGTTTATTATTTTTTTATCATGCAGGCTATCTCAATGGAGGTTTATTGTAGGGAAATACCCACTACGATACATAAAAATGTTCATTAGATGACTATAGGGTAAGGCTACCTACTACCGGTATATTCCCCGCAAATATTATTTAAGAAATCTTGTATATTTCAGGGTTTAAAACCTATAAAATAGTGAGGTTGAGATTTGTCTTGTGGTTTTCTTAAATAATTAAACTAGAACAAATGTAGTTAATGGTGGGGCTTAACATTTGATGCTAAATTGTGTTTTAATTTCTAATCAGGGCCTATAAATGTAAGGTAAGCATTTAGATTGTATCACATTGCTTTTTTGAAATACTTACACAATGAAATAATATCTCATACTGGCAACATTTATATCTATAATGGATTTTGTAATCCAGTGCATAATTGGTTTTATTTATGTACAGTTGCTTAGTAACAAAACTTGTCAACAGGAGAGAATTTACCTACTTGCTTTCCTCCAAACACTACACTTCATGAATTTAAAATAAAACTTCCATTAATAATTAAAGTCAAGTTTTAATAAGACGAAAATATTACAATGATAAAAAATTAACATAAACAAACTAGATAACAAAATAATTAAAAATAATTAATAGAAAAAAATTGTCATAAATCTTCGAATGCTGCAACTAATTTGTGTAGGCGGCCATCATCAACCTTTTTAATTGGTCTAAACTTGGGTTTTAAAATTGGAATGCTTGGTGCCGAGTCTATTTCTTTTTCATCTTCATAAAAATCCTCTATGTGTGGCTCTAGATCCTTTCTCAAAGTATTAGTGGTGGGCTTTCTAGTTTTTTTACTTTTTAAATCATTTACGCTTGCATTCAACTCGATGAGGTTCTTGTATATTTTGTCATTAAACTGGAAGTTTAGCTTTTTTGTCATCTGTAAATAAGAAGATTAACATTATATTAGGTTACAAAATACAATAATTACAGACAATTCAAGACTGCTTCGTTGGCCGAGTGGTCGCAAGTGCGATTGCCGGACAAGGGGTCTCGGGTTCGATTCCCGGGTCAGGCAAAGTATTACTGGATTAAAAAAAAACTTAGTAGTAGCACGGAGTTTGAAATTGTGCCCGGTATATGGCAACAGGCTCAGCCCCTATTACATGGGACTCATAACTTAAATAGTGAAAAGTGAGTGTTACATTGTACAGTGGTATAATATGCACCACTGCGCACTCCTTCGGGGATAATGATTAGTACATTATGATTAGTCTAACTTTAATGATAACAATTTTTTTAAATCTGTTTTAATAAAAACATGGGAAAGTAATGTTCTTATGTATGTTATAAGTTGTAAATTATCATGTCAGGTTTACCATGTAAACTCATTAATTAACCCTTTGAGTACCGTCATTATAGATACAATTCAAGAACAATAGGTTCCGGTCACAGATGTCCTTGCGGTGTTTGACATTTTAAGTGATGGATCAGTGAATGTTTGACTTCTAGAACTCATTTCAAACGAAGTTTTGAATATCTACAAACATTCAACTTACTTTAGTGCATAGTTGTCCCTTATCTACATTTAAATCCTCTGACGAGAGTGGAGGTGGACTCAGTTTCTTTAGTTCAGCTATATAATTATTTATCGATTCGCTGGAACATAACGTCGGTGCACTTAACTCATTTTCTTTCTGAGAACGCGACGACTTATGTGATTGAGAAGGTATTGAGGAGGCTACATCGTGCACAACTTGCCTCCGCGTCGACGGCCTAACTTTTAGCTCACAATTTCTAACCAGTGTCTTTTTAATTTTCGAATCAGATGCAGCTTTATGCATGGTTATATAATAATTTAGATAAACACAGCCCAATTAATTACTATTTGTTTACTAAATTCAAATTCAAAACAACGCGATGTTTCTATTTTGAATTTCAGAAATTGACAGTTTCATTCAATGTCATGCTAATGACATTTGTTTTCGGGTTGCCTACTAGATAGTTTGAGTTTACCACTTAAAAAGAATTTATTGATTTGATTTTTTAAAATAAATCTTGTAAAAATTGTTGTATAAAATTTTATAAAGTATTTTACTTCGAGCTTCTTTACAGAAAAGTAAAGAGTGAGTAATAATTGGGTACTTTCCTTAATCAAAAATAAATTATTTCGACTGCTCAATATAACTAAATGTTAAATCATAATCACACTTTCATTAATTGATTTTGATAATGTGCAACTTAATTTTAGTATTTTACTTGCAAATTTTTAAGATATAAATGTGCTGTTTGAATCTAAAAATATGTGACGTCACAATCCCATGCAAAATGACTCAAAACAAAGATACTAATTTACTTGCTATTTTAAAACGAATGATATTTCTGCTAGTATTGGAATCAAAAAATGTTTATTGGTGTATTGACAACAAATTAAAACTATACGTAAAATCACTTAAATCAAACGAGCAGTTTTTTATTTATTAATGTTTTTGTAGTTCGATCGGGATTTATTCACTAAAACCGAAAATGTTGAATTATCTCAGAAACTAGCCACTTTCGGACCAGAGACCTCGGGGCTGATTTTGTAGGAAAGTAGTTATATTATCACCTCGAGTTACAAGTCACTACAGATTTAAGTTGAAAAAAAGTGAACAATTTTCACCCAAAAACTAGTGAAACGTTCGTCGCATGGCCACACCACTTGTAACTTTTTAAATCTTTATTAGATGTGACACGCAAGGAAAAGCATAATAATAACTCAAGTGCAAGACTTATTTCAAGGGCGTATTTTTTTTGCTACCCTTTAAAAATGACATACACCATAGCAGGTAATAAAGCATTAGGACACAATTTTTAATATTGATTTATGGACGTTACTTTAGTGACGTAATATTTATGACTACTTAGTATATAACAAAGTCGATATCCACCGTCTGTCTGTCCCTATGTATGCTTAGATCTATAAAACTACGCAACGGATTTTGATGCAGTTTTCTTTAATACATAGAGTGATTCTTAAGGAAGGTTTATATGTATAATACATACATATTGCACTTGCGCAAAGCCGGAGCGAGTCGCTAGTTAATTTTAAATGTTGCACTTAATTTCTAAACGAGATGTAATCTTTCATTGACTGAAGTCGACTCAACAGCTGTCAAAACTAGACGCATGAAAGTCAGAAAGTGAAGTCGTCGACGATTTCAATTTTTCATGAAGCGATATTGATAATATTTTCTTACAAGTAACGTTAATCTTATGGGAAATATATAAGTTAAAATTATTTAGGAACAACTTAAGATTTGAAGCACCACAAGTGATTGTATAATGGCAAATAAAAGTGTTTTATTTTCCGTAAGTATTTTGGTGTTACCTACTTCTCGATTAGAGCGAGGACATTCTTTATTTATAAATTAAAATGTTGTTGCAGAACCCTGACTGTTTGCCGGTAGAGAATGTAATGTTATCAGTGACGAATGCCGGCGTTGTGCAGCAAATTAAGGCGTTGGTGAGTGCATGTTTGTTGCAAACATAATGTTGTGAAATAGTTAATCTTTGGTTCGCTGGGGAACACCCCGGTACTATGCAGTGTACTGCTGACATCTGTGGCATGTGCATTCCCCTTGCATTTCAACTGCAATCGGGATATACCCTAGTTTTTTTCTAGTTTATTTCATTGATATGGCCTTGGGATTATAGGACTTACAATACCTATAGAATTCTTATAGGTATATAATTATACATTTTACACCTAATAGTATGCAGTTGCTCTTTAACGATAAACTTTTTAGTTTTTTTATAAAGGTTCTATTAAACACAACTTGAATATTTTTTTTATTTTTAAACCTTTTAAAAATAATAGATAACCTTTGATAGGTATTAAGTCTAATTTCTATAGGTACTATGAACTGCTAAATAAAACTTGAAAATATTTATTTTTTATATTTTACTGGTGAGATTAATTATTTTTGTGACATAAGTATTTACTATTGCCAGATATCTTCTATGGAATTTACATATTTCATTTAAAAATAAGTACCTAATTAAGAAGAGGCCATTGGTAAGCATTGGCCACTTGTTGATGATTGATGATGATGGTTTAAAAATTTGTTATGTACACACTGCATCTATGTTACATACATACATATATACATTCATACATATTTATATGTTGATATATAGTACCGAAATTCCTCATTAGGGGCTGTCCATTAATCACGTGATGTTTTTCAGCAACTTTATAACCCCCTCCCCCCTTCTGGTGATATGTAGTGAGGTTTTAGACTATCCCCCCCCCTCTAGCCAAAATCACGTGTATTTTTTCAGCATAAAGTATATTGATATTTTCAGAATATCATCTTTAAATACAGGTATCATGTGATTAAATTTTGGGAAATTTAGCTTTGTGAGGTTGTTTTTGACTAGCATAAAATTCATATTCGCCACCGTTTTGTTTAACAATCGATTTGTCAATGAAAAATAAATACGCGTGATATCCCAATTTAACCCTCCCTTCCGCGTTGTGATATTTCGTTTTTTTTTTTTCGAACACCTCCCCCTCTTTCGAGCCTCACGTGATTAATGGACGACCCCTTATTTGTTTATACAAAACTAGTCTCCGAACATCGGGAAGGTCTATAATGTAGTTAGTGGAGAGTGGTCACCGGTGCCCACTTGGAGATTAAACAGTAAACATAAATTAGCAAAATATAATTACTGACATAATATCACATCATTATATTTCCTAAAATGTGGTAGGTAGAGAGATAAATATTTTTTCCGAACAAAAGTAACACATTTTATTAATTTTGTTATCGGTTTCATCCAAGTGAGAGTAAATCCTATATTTTGAGCATCATTCAAGGTTTTTCCTGAAGCCCAAACATTAATTTTTTTGCCCGTCTCATGAATTTATTTTACATATGTTTAGTTACATATGACATAGGTTTCATCACCTTTGAACAACTTTGAAAATGGGCCTAGCCCTATGCTTTTTGTTTTTTTTTAAAGCATTCATACAAAAGTACCCATGATTCTTTAAAAAAAACATGATCTGAACTGGGACCCGAACATAGACTATACTTTCTATTCCTATAACATACATAAGTGGCTAATGCCAACACTGTAAAAATGCATATTATCTATACAGATACATAAAATTGAACTATCTGTTTGTAATATTAAAACAACTGTAGTTTACTACATGCATATGAATATACACACAATTTTTTAGTTATCTTGAGACATGCTAAATCAACTAAAAATCGCGGGTTACTCTCGTGAAAATTAAAAATCTAATTAGTCCGTCAGTTAGGTAATGAAAAAGTAAAAGGTATTAGACACGTATTTTTTTGTTTTGTCTTATAATAAAACAATACTTAGATAAAACGAATCAACGTTCAAGAGTGGGGGCTAAAACGTCATTTCTACGTATAAAACGTGCATAGAAATGACGTCACGCGATATTTCATTTGCAAATCAATATATCGTCGAAAGTATTCGTTTCTGTAAGAAAATAAAAAATACGTGTCTAATGATTTAAAATAATCTACCAGGTGGACATTCAAATAAAAATTAGGCATCTACCCTATTATGAATTGACCATTAAGGCTGGTGTGTGTATCTACTACATGTTAGTGTTAGGCACTCAGACTATGATTATACTTATCTTGTTATCACTATGGTACTTCGATGTCAAGTGTGAAAGTTTTGTTATTTCCTAAATATAGCTAATAATGTTATGTGAAGTTTCTTTGTTTGTCTATTAGATAGAGCAATAAGTGGTATATAATGATATGTTAGTTATATATAAGTTTGATTACAAGAACATACTTGAATTTATTTTATTTTTTAAATAAACATTGCCTCTAAGATTTTCACCTGCGTCGTGGTTGCGTTTACAAATATCCAAGTTCACATACACATGACACCCAGACCCGAAATAACAATTTGTGGATCACACAGAGAGTTGTTCCGTGCGGGAATCGAACCCGCGACTGTTGTCCAGCCACCGCACCAACGTTGCCGGCCGAAATGATATAAAATGTAATTTCTATTGCATTGAAAATTTTTTTTAAACTCTCAATCACTGCGAGGACACCGGTGACCGCAACCAATTGTTCTTTAATTATGTTTATAATGACGGTACTCAAAGGGTTAAAAAAATGTTGCCCCACATTTAATGGAAACAACTCCCAAGTGCAACCAAATAAAACGAGGTTTTGTGTTTGATTGCTGAACTGGGGTTAAATGGCTAGACTGTTATGTTTAGAAATTATCTGTATTCATATGTATTTAGGAAATGTGATTTGTTGCCAAAAATTTGGTTTGGCCTGTTCTCTTATCTATCACTAGCTTCTGCCCGCAACTTCGTAAGCGCAATCCCGTTTTCTTCTTCTTAGGATTTTCAGGATTTTTTGCTGTCATAAGATCCTTTTCCTGACAATAACAAACAACAAAAATAAACAGCCAAATCGGTCTAGCCGTTCTCAAGTTATGGCGTGGCAACGGGCTTCTTACCCGCGGCTTCGCTCGCGTCACAAAAGGATAAAAAGTAGCCTATGTGACATATACCAATACACACAGCGCCATCTATACCAATTCTTTTGTTTTCCTTTGGGAATATCAATTTTTTCCGGGATAAAAAGTACCCTATTATTTAATCCGGACTTCTAACTTTACGTCTGCAAAATTTCAAAGCAATCGGTAGTAGTTATGGCGTGAAAGCGGCACAAACAAACAAACTCACTTTCTGATTTATAATATTAGTAAGGATATATAGATTTAGCATGTAGTTATTTTATACACACGAAAAATATATAGTAGTTTATGTTCATGCTGTTCGCTGCCATGCCTACATGTAATGTAACTTGTGTATGCCAATAAATAAATTTGAATTTTAAGTAGGTACATCTTTCTGTTAGTTTTTTTGGTCGAACTAATTTGTTTATAATTTTACAGGACCCATACTGGGTGGAGAAGCGTGAGATGACGATATACGAGCGACCACCGTCAGGTAGCACCATCGTGCTGGGAGCCGTCGACACCTGGAAGGCCAGGATGGAGGGGTACCTGGAGGATGTCAAGTGGCTACTCAGCTTAGAATATCATAGGTGAGGATGCACTTATAATAGTACCTAGTACTTTGTACTTTAATTTTATGTCTTTTAAAAAGAAAGAAAGAAAAATTTATTTGTTAGAATGTAGTTAACAATATGTATATACATAACATCACGCCTTTTATCCCCGAAAGGGTAGGCAGAGGTGCACATTACGGCGTTTAATGCCACTGTAATGTAACACCCACTTTTCACTATTTATGTTATGAGTCCCATGTAATAGGGGGTGAGCCTATTGCCATATACCGGGCACAGTTCCAGACTCCGTGCTACCACTGAGAAAAACCCAGTAATACTTTGCCCGACCCGGGAATCGAACCCGAAACCCCTTGCCCGGCAGTCGCACTTGCGACCACTCGGCCAATGAGGCAGTCTTAACAATAAGTGTTTTATGTTATAGAATGTATGAGAATACATTCTACCCAATCGGTGTATATTAGACTAATTTAGACTTTAGAAGATGGCTACTTTCTTCAAGGAGATTTAAGAATGTGGTATCTAGGTCAATTAATAATATCCAAAACCTAGTTTAACTGAAAACAAAAGTTTGCTAAAGGCCTCCCCTTCCCTTGAAAAGGCCAGCAACACATTTGTAACTCTTATGTTGCCCATGGGCGCTGCTGAACAACTGAGTAGTTTCCAGGGTAAGAAAATTAAAAATCTAATTAGTCCGTCAGTAAGATGATGATACAATATTAGACACGTATTTTTTTCTCGTATAAAGTTACAATACTTACTTAGATAAAATGTAGTTAAGTTTAGGAGTGGGAGGTAGTTACGTCACAACGTGCTACATTTTGTAGCACACTGTGACGTCACATGACAATTCAAATCAATATATCGTCGAAAGTATTTAATTTTGTGAGGAAAGAAAAAATACGTGTCAAATGTTTTAAAGTAATCTACCAGATGAACATTAAAATAAAATTTAGGAAACTAGCCTATTACAATCAGGTGATCCGTCTGATCCTACCTCATAAAAATACTCATTCTATTCCTTAATTCATTCTGCTCACTTCTTAGATAAATCCTTTACACATTTTCTTCCACATCTCCAGGTTTTGGAGCACAATCCTGTACCACTCTCAGTGTATGGACGCGCTAGTGTCGTTCCTACAAGAGGCCACGCCGCCCTACATACCGCCACACGAGAGCCGCGACGTACAGAAACTGTATGAGGACATACGGAGACATGTGCTGATAGTGTTTAGTCGGCTTGTTACTAATAAGGAGAGTAAGGTATGCCAAAGAAGTGTATAAACACTAGAAATAATTCTATGAATCCTTAAACAGGCAATTTGGAGACGTTAATATTATTATATTATGTTAAACTTTAATACTGAACAATTTAAAAAAAAAATACACGTTGCCCCACGCTAGGATTTTCTCCTGTGTCGTGGGTGCGTTTACAAACATACAATATCACATACACATAACACCCAGACCCGGAACAACAGTCTGTGGATCACACAAAAAGTTGTTCCGTGCGGGAATCGAACCCGCGACACGTTGCGCGGCAGCCAATTGCCCAGCCACCGCGCCAACCGTGCAGTCAAAAAGCTTCATTTTCGTCATTATCATCAAATAACAGAACATAACATCACTCCCTTCATCTGTACAATGTAACACCTACAAGAAATATTTGACACAGCACTTGTTTTACTTTTCATCTCATTATAAACAGCCTTTAAATGCCCACTTCTCAGCATAGCCTTTTCTCACACGGTGAAGGTTTGAGCATTAATCACCACGCTTGCTCAATGCGGGTTGGCGATTTCAAACTTATATTTAGAAATTATGAGCCCAGGTTTCTTCATGATATCTTCGCCGTTTGTCAGTGGTGTCTAAATAATGTTAGAAAGTACATATAACTCGGAATATAAAAGTCACATTGGTACTTGCCGTTGGTAGGTTTCGAACCCGCACCCTCATGCATGAGAAGCAGGCGTCTTAAACCTTCACGACACTTCATCTATTCCTTGTTTAAATTGTTATTAATTTAGCTTTGAATTCACAGACACAATGGATGACCAAAGAATTCATGGCAGAATTATTATACGATAAGTTTATATTTACGATACCGATCATATGGGACCTGTGCCTGACTTACGGAGTGGACAATGGGAGGCATGTCGGCAGGGTCCTGGACTGCGTGTTTGGGCTGCAACCGAGGTACGAAGGCGATGCTGTTGCAGCTGTAGCTTTTGTTAAGGAGGTAAGTAGATATAAAAGAAAGTTGTGAAATCAAAGAAATCCAATGGTCGTAATGTTTTCCTTTCTTCTCTATAAACCTTTATTCTAAACTACAAAATATGTTTTTGTGTCTAATATGGTCAGGTAAACTAAATTGTTTAGATTACACTCTTCGAGTGTGATCGACTAGTTTCGAGCCATGACGGGGTTCATATCGATCCGTAATCATGAGTTATCGGCACCGAACAGCCGACCACTGCATTAAGCATCGTCGAACAATTCGTGAGGAAGCTGTAATATATGTACAGTATTCAAAAGTGATAATAAAAGAGTAATATAACGTGTTATTTTTTTTGAGACATGAAAATTCAATAAATGACGTTTTAAGTGGTTTAACCCTTTGAGTACCGTCATTATACACACAATTAAAGAATATTGTTCTTGTGCGGTGTGCGGTGTCCTCGCGGTGTTTGACAGTTTCAAGTGGAAACTATAGTTTTTTTCTTCTTCTCTTATAATATTTTCGGATTCACGTCGTTGCGGGAACTAAGATAGTTATTCATGTCCCTGTGACGTGCCGGACTTCAGTGTTCCGGTGTTTTCATGGTTGTACTTACTGTAGATCCTGGCTTTTAGGAGTTGCATCGGTTTTGTGAGGTTGTGGCGGGCTTGTCCCATATATAAAAAAAATCGTTTTAACCAAACCGTCTCCCCACAGGCATTCAAATACATAATCCTACAAGTGAACAAAGACTACGATAGCGAAGATCCACCGAACCTTCCAGAAACTTTCAAAGGTTTCTCGGAGATCAGACGTCCGTCCAACTCGAAGGCTGCAGACAAACTGACATTTGGCGTGTTAAAAGACTTAGTAGTACATCTATTGGATACCAGTATGACAATGAGGATATTCCTCGAAGTGTACCCGAAGAGTGTGCCCATATTTAGGAAAACGAATTTTATTATTAGGTGAGTCAGTATTAGAACTTTTAGGTTATATGTAACTAGCTTTTACCCGCGGCTTCGCTCGCGTCACAAAAGAATAAAAAGTAGCCTATGTGACATATACCAGTACATACAGCGCCATCTATACCAATACGTTTGTTTTCCCTCGGGAATTCAAATTTTTTCGGGATAAAAAGTACCCTATTATTTAATCCAGACTACTAACTTTACGTCTGCAAAAATTTAATGCAATCGGTTTAGTAGTTACGGCGTGAAGTCGGAACAAACAAACAAACAAACACACTCACTTTCCGATTTATAATATTAGTAAGGATGTAACTAGCTCTGTATTTCCGTCTGTCTGTCTGTACTTCCTGAAGGGTATAACCTGGGAGTCTTCAAGGCCCGAGTGAATAGGTTGCTTATGGGACGACGTGCTCCATTGTAGACCGCATCATCGCTTACCATCAGGCGAGATAGTGGTCAAACGTCGGCCCATCAAATATAAAAGAAAATTATTTCTGACCCCGGCTTTTCAGCCGTTTTAATCTGAATAAGTAACAAGCATATACATAAAATCACAAAATTCCGCTTTTATATGTATGTAAGATGCAGCACCTATTTTTCACTAGCCATGAGTTCCAGGGGGTGACCCTCTTTGCTCGACCTGGGAATTTTACCTTAAACCTCTTGATCCACAGTCACACTTGCAATCACTTGGGAAATGAAGTAGTTCTTTATGTATGAGTTCACTGGCAATGAAGGTGCAAACGTTCACTTAAGTCTATTGGATCATGGCAGAAAACTCTAACAAATTATCCATTGAGTTCTAATAATGTCAAAAATAAACCTTATATCTCACTTCTTAAAGTTTCTTTCAGTATAGTTCAACTTTACGAGTATGGCATCCCGCTCTTGTATGAGAAGTTGGAGGAGACGGGAGATCAGACCAGCGTGACCTACACGGAAATCGAAGGGTACATCGACACCGCGCGAGCCGAGCTTATAGACATATTTAGAGAAATACTGGCAGCTTATAAAAGTGCTATTTTTAGTGGAGAGTGAGTATCTTATAATCTTGTTTAGTATTTTTTTACACATAAACATAAACATAACATCACATCTTTTATCCCCGAAGGGGTAGGCAGAGGTGCACATTATACCACTGTACAATGTAACACCTATTTTTCACTATTTATGTTATGAGTCCCATGTAATAGGGGGTGAGCCTATTGCCATATACCGGGCACAATTCCAGACTCCGTGCTACTACTGAGAATTTTTAAAAAAACCCAGTAATACTTTGCTGGGAGTCGAACCCGAGACGCCTTGCCCGGCAGTCGCACTTGCGACCGCTCGGCCAACGACACAATAGTAACGAGTATTTTTTTATTATAAACTTTGCCCCACACTAGGGCTTTCTCCTATGATGTGGTTGCGTTTACAAACATACAAGTTCACATACACATGACACCCAGACCCGAAACAAGAATTTGTGGATCACAGAAAGTGTTGTTCCGTGCGGAAATCGAACCCGCGACACGCTGCACGGTAGCTGGTTGCCCAGCCACCGTACCAACCGTGCAGTTAATTAGTTCATCATCAGTCGAAAAACGTCAACTGCTGAACAAATGGCTCCATCTTATTCCCCTCGGAACAATATAGTTATTGTTATTTATTGTTATACAATATAGTTATTGTTCCGAGTTATTTCCCCACGTCGAACGACAACTCACCACTTGTAACCAGCTCGACGGCAAACTTCCCTTCTTCATAAGAAGTTTGCCATCATGTCCACACATGCTAGGACGATTAGATATAGCAGTTTAAAGGTTTTGTGGTGCTCAAATCGGAGACTGTGCTGTCTGGTCTCTGATGTGCAATCACTTAGTGAGCTATTGCGATGTCTACGGGAATAATCGTCGTTATTATTATTATCCACGAGATATCCACCACTGAACATACACCATAGTCCTTCCCCAATGACTTCCAGAAAGGTCGTTTCGAAGCGACCTGGGTGCTTACTCTTGAAACCAATCTCAATGTCAATGCAATACGGTCTTTGACAGCTAGTCGAATACAATACTTTTTTCGAACTGTCAAAAACGACAGTTTTCTATGAATTTTGTACGAGATTGTGAATTGTGACGTCACGTTTTTTTAGCGTCGAACAGCGTACTTATTACTTAAAAATTTGCTATTTTTAAGTTGGTCATAAAATCAATTAATGAAAGTGTGATTATTTTTAAATATTTTATTGTATTGGACTGTCGAAATAAGTTATTTTTGCTTATGGAAAGTACCCAATTTCAATCCAATAAAATCTCAATAATTATTCAATGGCAAAACTATACAACGCCTATCGTAGCTGTTAAAATAGCATTCAGAGTACTGAATATAAAGCCAAACGCAATACCATTTAATTCATTAAATATTCACGCAATACAGATGCAATGGGCGTTAGTGTTGCAACTCAAGAGTACGAAATTTTACAATACGAACGTGTCGATCGGTCGGAATTGGATTCAAGAGTAAGCCACCTGATGTGAAATCTAGCGCTGCTAAATGTTCTAACTTCCTTTTTTCTTTACAGAGGCAGTATAGCGAACCTAGTAGAAGACTACCTAGCTGTGATGATGGACGGTCTCTCTGAGAAGTTACTCATCAAGGACTACCACTCCTGCTACCCCGTACATGATGACCTGGAGATGTTACGGCAGGCGTACCCTGACATGTATCCTTTTGTAAACTAGTCTTCAAGGGAAATGCGACCTTATTGTAAGATGATTGGTTGTTTTTTTGCAGTGGTGTGGTTTATTTTTTTAGACTGCCTCGTTGGTCAAGTGGTTGCAAGTACGACTGCCGGGCAAGGGGTCTCGGGGTAGATTCCCGGGTCGGGCAAAGTATTACTGGGTTTTTTAACAAAAAATCTCAGTATTAGCACGGAGCCTGGAAATATGCCCGGTATATGGCTATTACATGAATAGGGGGTGAGCCTATTGCCATATACCGGACTCATAACATAAATAGTGAAAAGTGGGTTTTATCTTTGTGTGCACCACTGCCTACCCCTTTGGGAATAAAAGGCGTGATGTTATGTAAACCGCGATTTTTAGTTAAACTTTCACCTTTACACGCTATCCAATAACATTTTATTTCATACTTCATATAAAAATAATACAAGAAATAAAACCTGAACGTACTCCAGAGACACAGTAAAGACTGACTTCATACTCCAAGCTATCTACTCCAACCTGGACGAGCCAGTTCCCGAGTTGCCAGCCCCAACAGACAAACTTACCAACGGACACATAGAAACTACCCCTCAAGAAAATACTCCCACAGATGCAGAAATACCCGACAATGTTAGGGAAGAGTCTTTAATAAGTGAAGTTAAAGATATTTTCCCACATCTAGGGGACGGTTTTATTTTGAAATGCTTGCAACATTATGGGTTTAATGCGGAGAGGGTTATTAATAGCGTTTTAGAAGATAATCTGGCTGAGCCATTGAGAGGTATGTATTGTGCCTAATTTATTTATTTTTATAACTATGTTAAGTTTTAGGCTCTAGACAGACGGACCGAACTTCAACTGCAATACAACCGCATAGTGCAGTTCTATTGCAGTCACGACCAAACGGTTGTAAACCAAACGAGCAATCCGATTGTAGTTCTATTGCAGTCACGACCGACAGTCGCAAGTGTGACTGCCGGACAAGGGGTCTTGGGATCGATTCCCAGGTCGGGCAAATAGTGAAAAATGGGTGTTACATTGTACAGTGGCATTGAGTGCCGTAATGTGCACCTCTGCCTACCCCTTCGGGGATAAAAGGCGTGATGTTACGTTATGTTTATGAAAAAAATATTTCAACTCCCTAAATTATCATTTATTGAAATGAGTATCAACATTTTCAGCATTAGACCAGTCCCTACCAATAATACCTGAAGACCCATTAGACAAGAAGTTCCTAGAGACTGGCCAGGCTCGTCTGAACGTGTTCGATGGAGACCAGTTCGACATCATGACCAGGGACGACGTGGATGTCTCCAAGATCCACGTCGGCAAACGAAGGTCCAAGTACAAGGACCTTAAAGAGATGCTGGATGATAAGTCTGAGGTGAAGAAGATGGTCGATATTTATAGCAAGTATAAGTAAGTAGTTTTTTTTATTATCTACATTTTTTATGGCATAGGGCGGCGAATAAGCTCTCGGATCACTTGATGGTGAGCAATCGACGCCGCCTATGGACACACGCAATACTAGATGAGTTAAAAGTTCGTTGCCAGCCTTTTACGGATACGGAGATTTGAGCATTGGGGATTGAGGATTTAGGGAACAGAGAGTAAAGTTCCCTAAGATTGGAAAAGGAGGATCCTCCGACCCGGGGCGGTGTTCGTGCCCAGCGGGCTATCTGCCCAACACTTGTTCGTTGGGGTTTTTTATCCATGTTAATTGACATGTAAACTTAACATATGCGATGTAGTGGAAGAGGTGGAAACTATCGTTTTTTTTTCTTCTCCTCTTATAATATCTTCTGATTCAGTCCATGTGACGCGCCGGACTTCAGTGTTCCGGTGTTTTCATGGTTGTATCTACTGTAGATCCTGGCTTACAGGAGTTGCAGCGGCTAGACCCATTAAAAAAAATGCGATGTTGGATTTTGTGACGTCATTCGTTAATTTGTTTTTCATCGATAGTCAATGTAAGCTGTCATTGGACATGTGTGGCTACAAGGATTTCAAAACTTTTCAAACTTAAACGAGGATCTCATTTTAGATTTTTTTTCTAATATATTTTTGAAATAAAGGGGGATATTGATAATCTAGATATCTCGTAATTTACTTTTCCGCAAATAATCACGTCAGGCCTACAGCTTTCTTCCTGCAAAATACATTTTAACTAGTACCCTTGTTTCATCCCAGCCTGGTATGCGACGAGGAGGCCCTGTACTCGGACGAGTACGACGACACGTACGACTCGGACGGCGTCGCGCCCACCGCCGACCTCGCCGACGACGCGCGGAGACCATTCGTCACGCCACGGGCACTGCGCCAGTACGACAGGGACCAAGAGGTATATTACACATGTTGCTCTACTACATAAGTATGTGAAGGTGATGTCAAACCACTTTGTTATTATTAGAGGTCTGAAGGACGATTAAAATCATAAAAAACATTAAGTGCAGTAAAATAGCTTCATAACCAATTTCAAAAAATAGGGTAGATGACTAATTTTTATTTTAATATCCGTCTGGTAGATTATTTTTAAAAATTAGACAGGTATTTTTTATTTTTTTACAGAAACGAATACTTTCGACGATATATTGATTTGAAATTTTGCGTGACGTCACTTCTATGTATATTTTGTACGTAGAAATGACGTTTTAGCCCCCACTCCTAAATTTTGATTCGTTTTATCTAAGTATTGTTTTATTATACGACAAAATAAAAAATACGTGTCTAATATTTTTTCATTACTTAACTGACGGACTAATTATATTTTAAATTTTCATACCCTGTAATCATCCCTATTCTAGCTATGGAAAAATACGCATAGTCATTCATTAACCATAATGATTTCTAAAACCATGATCTTCTTACAGGAGGAGTCTGAAGACGAGCCAGAAGGCCAAGAAGAAGAGAAGCCAAGTAGTAGTCGAAGTAAGATGGACTTCTGTGTTAACCCGGAGGAGATGCGCGCGCGCAGGGAGGCGAGCTACCAGGCCAGGCGGGGACGAGGACATGGAACTCGACCCGCCCCGCAACCCAGGTATACTAGTCGACAGACAAATAAATATCTGCTTTGTGTATATGCATATTGAGTTGAATTCAGAACGATTAGTGCTTTATCATATCATGTACTGGTCTTTATACGACTGAAACTTCACGTATAAACAATGTTTGCATTTCAAATCTCATTTATCGTAAACCGTTCAATTAATAATTGTATATGATAATAATTGTAAAGCATTTAGCAACTAAAAGATAATATTGCATACTGAAAGATAATATAATTAATCTACACAATCTCGCCATATTTCTAAAACAACTTTAATAATGAATATATGATATAGGGGAATTTTTTACTGCACCTCTATTTAAAAATGTAAGCAAACCAAATTTCTCCACTAATAACACTACTGCATATCAAAAAAATTAACCGTAAAATAAAAATACTGATTTGGGAAGAAGAGAGAAGGGAATTTACAGTTAAAGTATTAAATGCCACCCTTTGATATTTTCCAGGAACACGGACGTCACAGGCAAGCCTCGAGGTCAAGGTCAGGAGAAGGAGGTTCTCCACAACAGAGACAAGAAAGAGAAGAACAAGTCAGCCAGAGCCAACCACAACCGAAGGTCTGGCGCGCAGTGGAAGAGGAGCCAGGGCATGATGCCGTCGTAACAACCTGTATACTCCAATACATCAATATACGCCGTCTTTACATTGTATAATGGAAATAGGCCTCATGTTAAAGTGAAAGTCAAAGTAAGCATTCATTTCAATAGGGTAGTTTCCTAAATTTTATTTTAATGTCTGTCTGGTACATTAATTTAAAACTTTAGACACGTATTTTTTCTTTTCTCACAAAATTAAATACTTTCGACGATATATTAATTTAATATATCTTGTGACGTCACAGCGTGCCATATTTTGTAGCACGTTATGACGTAACGACCTCCCACTCCTAAACTTAGCACAATTTTATCTAAGTATTGCAACTTAATACGAGAAAATAAAAAAATACGTGTCTAATATTTTTTTATTATCTAACTGATGGACTAATTAGATTTTTAATTTTGATACTAGACATGCGCAAAACAGTGCTTCCCGAAGTAATGTGATATGGCATTACATTTCGTACCGAATAATATTACATTTTACCATCACTTCAAACATCACCTGTAATGTTGCATCATATGGTAATTGGTGAAATATGGAGGCCATAATCACTGTCGTGATAGGTATTCCAATGCAATGTTCAGGTTTATCACATAGCACAGAATAATAATACAGAGCCTTAACGAGTGACGTTCTTATGTGATGTGTCTGAACTGAATAGCCTATGAAATACGCCACAGTCGAGATGTAATTTACAAAACCTAAACCTATTTATTTACACTAATTTACACATTCACATGAAGTATATATTAAGTATGTACTTGTCAAACATGCTATCACTCTCATTATAAATTTAGAAATATTCTTAAATTATTAGTGCAATCGTGACACGACCTTCACCGCATAAACAAAACCAACGACGAACTAAACAAAATAAAAAAAATGTCGTCGAAATTACGATGCATACATGAATTACGACGAGTGGCTTAAACAAATATAATCCTTATGTTTTAATAAATACAGTTCTAAATCAAAGATCAATAAAATTACCAAACCGAATCGTGCGGCGAATATTTACGATTCCGTCCGAAGCAAGTCCGAAGTAAGCCGAACATTGAAACGAAACATTGCAGGCAGGCAGAACAGTGCACACGTCTGCGAATCATCCCGCATGTCATTCGCGCGCGCGTCATGTTATGAAGTGATGTGTGATGCTTGTTTTGGTCGAGTAATGTGTAATGCTACAGTACTCGGTCGGGTGATATTACTCGTAATACATCACTAGCATTACTTACACATGTCTATTTGATACCCTGGAAACTACCCAATTAAACCATAATTTGGTATTTTTGAAACGTCAACAAATACAAAATAAATAGTAGTCTGTCAGTCAGTCCGTCAGTGAAGCTAGGTGAAGCTAGGTGCTCATTCCAAAATGTAGATTCGAATGGAGAAGAACGAGCAAGAAATTCCATTCGTTACTCTTTTTTGAAAAGTATATTCTACTATGTCTCTTTTAACAATATGCTCTATAGTGACGTATTAGCAAAGTTTGGCCTTTTTTATATTATGTTTTATTAACTCGTTGACGAGGTAACTCAACTAGTTGGTCGCACGGCGCTGCTCATGACGTGAATAAGCTGTGAAATTAGAATTGTATAATTATTCTGTATAATCGAAAATGCCGTCTTTGCAACCACCTGTAGGTATAATGTAATCACATAGCATGTATATATTTATTAATTTATTTGTATGTACTTATTTATTTTTCATGAAAATAAGGTTACTTTTCGTAATTAGTGGTCTTATACAATATTTGTTTTCGTTTGTAAAAAACTCCAAACACGAGTTACATATTTTTATATTTTTTCATGTAAAATCCTACATCCTATATCCTGTATAAAATACTGCATGGTTGGCCGAATGATCGCAAGTGCGACTGCCAGGCACGGGGTTTCGGGTTTAATTCCTGGGTCGGGCTAATACTGGGTTTAAAAAATCTCAGTTGTAGCACGGAATCTGGAACTGTACCCGGTATATGGCAATAGGCTCACCTCCTATTATATGGGACTCATAACATAAATAGTGAAAAGTGGGTGTTACATTGTACAGTGGCATTAAGTGCCGTAATGTATTAATTTTTTAAAAGATAAAAAAATATAACGAGGTATAAAAATCATTGAAATCAATTCATTTGCCTATTGAAAACTTTATTCAAGTTTCGCATAAACAAAAATAGTTTTTGTACAGACAGAATTACATTAATATTATAAATGTGAAAGTTTCTTTCTTTGGATGTTTGTCCGTCAATAACGCTGAAACTACTGAACGGATTTTGACGAAATTTGGCATACAGGCAGGGTATGGGCTGACATAGTTAATAGGATACTTTTTATCCCGATTAAATGGGATAAAACAGGAATACGCGGGCCAAGCCGCGGGTGCAAACTAGTGACAAATAATTGTCTTATGATTAGGGTTGCAGAAAGAAGCTTTGGGTTTGATTTCTTAGTCAGTGAAAGAGTTTTTGAAGCAAAATCCTTACTTATCAGCACGGAGTCCTAAAATATACCCAATGTACTGGTAGAAAATGAATGTTATTTACTACATGGACCTCTGCCTACCCCTGAATATGGATACGTTATATAATATCGTGTATAGAGGAAAATAAAGTGATATAAAAACATGTGATTAGTTAACCTTTTGAACGCCAGAGCAAAAACGCATGAACTTGCCCTCAACGCCAGGCCACAAATTCACCGCAAATACCTACGAAAAAAATAGGGATTCCAAAACTTCATCGATAATCAATTTTATTTTCATTTTCGTCTTTAATTTCGAAATATAATGTCCTTATAACATTGAAATTTAATTCAACATTACATTTCTTCCTATTAAAGTAATAGTTATACACTATTTACAGACTTGTATAATACCGTAATAACAGATATGAGACTACAATATATTTAAATATAATAACTGTAGGTACAACACTATTCTTGATCTGCTGTCTTCATATTGTGACCATGGCGTGGACGGCCCGCCATTTTAATAACTACTTCGCTTCCGAAATAAGGATGTGGCAACGTAATATCTCGTTTATCGATGTTCTAGTACAATATTATTTTATAATAAATGAAACACGTTTTTTAAATCAGATTTATAATTCCGAATGTAACAGGTACTTAAAAATATATGATTGAAATAGGTTAAGAAGGTAAATAAAAACTATGAAAAAATAGAAAATTTTAATAAAATGTTATACAGTATGTACTATGTATACATGTTTTTAAATATTAAGTTCTATAAACCTGGCATAAAAAGTAACAAATTAAAACAATTAACGATTATATATAATTATCACAATTACCAATCACATCTAATATGCGAAGAAGTTCTTCCGTAGTCATTAAATTCCCACTCATTATAATAGTCACTTAATATAAATCTTGAACTCGATATCACAAGTAAATTAATCAAATATTATTCATTCACTTCACTAATTTCTGGTCGCCGCGCTTGTGACGTCACGATATTGTCGTCTAGTCGTGACCATGGCGTACAGGGTACTGATAATTCGGGTTGCGTTAGGGATGCGCTTGAGTTGGGATTAGTGAATATCGAAATTCGACCCAACCAAATTTTATTTTTGACTATGTAGCTTATTGAATGATTTTTAAGACTGGATTTATAAAATTAATACTGCTTTATCCTAGTACCAAATTATACCTAAAATAATATATTCCAGAGGAAAGTTTCGAATCGATCTTTGATTTGAAATAATGATATTATCCAACATGCGCTACATCACTAGCGGTCACGCAGTTATGACTCTGGCGTGTGAGGACATTCTTTTTTCAGAGTTTATTTCTTTCTTTTTAACGTAAAATTTCTCAATATTTATAATGCAATTTAATTAGTTTTATGGAAATAAATAAATTTTGGACCTTCTATTTTACAGGTATATAAATAAATAGGCATTAAAGTAATGTTTAAATGGTTTATTTCGTGTTTTAATGTACCGCTGTTTTTGTCACATATTTGTGTCGTTGGCGCTCAGGGACAGTTTTCGCTTGTCACGTATTTGTGACCCTGGCGCTCAAAAGGTTAAACGATTGTATTGTATAAATATATAATGTAATTTATATATTGTGCGGTAATATAACGTAATATTATATAAATAGTGGTTTCTTTATATTACAATGAAGTTGTATTTATTATGTATTTTGTTTTATTTACACCAGAACCAGGAGACGGACATGGATACTTTTTTATATCCAATACTTTTTTACTTTTTACCGAAAATTACCAACTGGAAAAACGGGATTGCGCGTACGAAGTGCCGATCAGAAGCTAGTTTTCAATATCAGTGTTTATTTCAGTAGGTATACATGTTGTTATAACGTTAGAAGCCATTGGTCGACGTCGTAATGTCATTTTCAGCCTTTAAATTGATAGTGATAAACGTCACAAGTTTGCCATAGAAAACCTGGGAAAATATAATTTACTGTAATAAAAATATAATACATGAGTCATGTTATTTTTGGTTTTCTGCACCGTTTTCTTATAATAAAAAAGAATCGCTAAATGTATTGTTAATTGCATATCTCGAGAACAGCTGCACAGATTTTGCTAATTCATTTTTGTTGGGTTATTTTTAGGAGAAGGTTCTTATGCAAGAAAAAAATACTAAGCCGAAATAAAGTTTGCATTGTCCGCTAGTAATTTCTAATTATACGTGTTTTTTATTGTGCATACTTTGTGTGTATGTGTTTTATAAACTGTATCAAAATTTGTTGCATAGTTTTAAAGAGAGAGAGAGAGACAAACAGAATAGTGACATAGTTTTGTACTGATAATCTATTAGTAACTAGCTTCTGCCAGCGACTTCGTACGCGTAATCCCATTTTTTCCCGTCCCCGTTCGTGATTTTCGGTAAAAAGTAAAAAAAAAAATGTTGGTTAAAAAGTATCCTATGTCGGTCTCCTGGCTCTAAGCTACCTCCCTACCAATTTTCAGCCAAATCTGTTCTGCCGTTCTTGAGTTATAAGTGGTGTAAGTAA